CATGTCCATATATCTTATACCCAAAATTGGGGAAGTAACAGATAATCAGATCCAGCTTAGAGCTGCCTATCTGAATTGTACCAATTGAAATTATTTCCAATTTCCTATCCCAAGGGTATCAATTTTAAGCATTTGACATTTAATAACAACAAAGTAGGAACTTTTTTTTTTAACTTTATATCTCCAGTGCTTAGCACAGTACCTGGCACATGTACATGCTCAATAAATCTTGTCGACTCACTGAAATTTGTATAGCACTTAGAGGTTTACAAAATGGTTTCCATGCATTTCCTTATTTGAGCTGATACTAGCTCTGAAAAGGTACCCAAAGCTGTTTGCCAGATAGCTCCTACCAAAGTCTGGGGCCATAACAAGGGCTAGGTAATCAGGATTTTGTCCCAAGGCACTGAATTTAAAGTGTACCCATAACACTTAATTTTTTAACAGCTTAATTAGTAAGAATAATTAGTTTCATAATTTTATTTACATAACTCCAAATTGCTTTCCAGAATGGTTAAACCAATCTACAACTTAACCAACAATGTATAACCTAGCGAACCAATTAGCGTATCTTTTTTTCCCTCAGCCCCTTCAGAATTTACCATTTGTCTTTTGTATCATTTCCCAATTTGCTGGTTACAAAGGGGAAGCCTCAAGGTTGTTTTGATTAGCATTTCTTTTATATTTAGTGATTTCTGAGTCATTTTTTTCATATGGTTGTTCACAGTTTGCAATTCTTTTTCAAGAACTGTTTGTTCATATCACCTGATCACTTATCTGTTGGTAAATGACTTTTGATATTTTATATCTTTTGATCCAGAGATTCCATTACTATTCATGTAACCCGAGGAGGTCATTGACATAGAAAGATTCCATTGACACTAAAATATTTCTAGCAGTGCTTTTTGTGGAAACAACGTAGAAGTCAATTGATTGGGGAATGACTAAATAAGTTGTGGTACAGAATATTGTTATAATGCTGTAAAAAAAGACAGACATGATAAATATAGAGAAGCATGGAAAGACATATTAACTGATGAGAAATGAACTAAGCAAAGCCAGGAAAACAATGTCCATGGTAATTATAACAATGTAAATGGAAAGAACAATAATAACAAAACAACCAAAATGTTGTGACATTCTAAAGAACAAGCTTGGCTCCCAAAGAAGGGATTGAAAAAGACACTACCTCTCCCAAAACCTTTCCCACAAGTTGGTTTCATGGGTATAAAACATTACAGATAACATCAGATTTTTTTTTTGATATGATAATATTTTTTCCCTCTTCTTTCTCTTTTAAAAAATTCTTCATTTAAGAGAAGGCTCTCTGGGAAAACAGAGAAGGAGAAGTAACAAGGAATATAGTTGACATTAACTCAGAAGGTATCAATTAAAATCTGTTTTAGAAAAAAATATATTTAAAATATGATGCTGCCAGATAGCAGACTAGGGGGAGCTAGTTCCTCTTAGCCATCATTCTAAAAAAGCCTTCCCAGCAGCAAGTATCTGTGGTGCTGTCTCTCTTCCTCTCCCTCTCACCCCAACTTTTCAACTAGGATGTGCTTTATTCCACTTGTCCTAGATATTTGCCCCCATATGCAAAAAAAAAAAAAGCCTAGTTTCAAATCTGGATTTAGTCCCACATTGGCTCAGACCTTTTCCCAGGGAACTGAAGCTCATGACTGGACATGCATTCCAGGTTTTTGTTGATTCTCAAACCATTCAATAGTAATGTGATTAGTTGGTCTAATTCTTTAGAAGGATACAGAGAACCTCCTTAGAAACACAGCCATCAGTCACATGTGGACATATAGGGAATATGGCAAAGAGCTTTTGGGGGAGTTTTTCTGGCCAGAACAAACTACTTGTTTTGATATGGGCAGGTGGGATAAAAAGAGTTGATCCTGAGTCATCCAACAGATACCTAACCTGGCCTTCCCAAGATCAGACAAAGTATGATACCCTAGAGCCTGTGGCTACTGCTCAGGGACAGATCACAAGAAATCAGATAGCATCCCAGAAGCCTCACCTCAGCTATAAGATGTTAAGAGAGATAAGTGTTTAGAGATCCAAGATTAAGGTACATTCTCTATTGAATCTGGTAGGATAATGATAGCATCCTGATTTGTGAAGTATAAGAAAACTGTACTAACCCAAAATAATAAAGAATGTCAGGCAGTTTGCCTTAGTGAAAAGCCTGAATTTTGGATTAAAAAAAAATGCAGTTGTTGCAGGTTTATGTTGCTTTAAGGACATCAAATGAATGAAAACTCAAATTTCCAAAAAGTATAAATAGGGAAATGAGTGTTTTCTTTAAGAAATAATTCCTGACTACAAAAAGATTTACCATATGATTAATTTAAATAGCAACACTACTGTATTTTAAATGATGCCATGAAGCCCCCAATATAGGACTTTATTTACAAAATCAATTGACACAGAACTTCTCAGAAATATACATATATACATATGTGTGTGTGAATGTAAATATGTGTGTGTATTTGATAGAGAAGGGTACTTAGGTGTTTTCAAGGTACCTATGTGCTTTTCAATATTATGAATTATTATAAAAATTAGTACAAATTTATAAAATTACAACTAGTATTAATTCTACATTGCCTAATACTGTGTTCACAAATATAACACACAAAATTTGCTTTGCCCCTGGTTGAAGGCATATCATGATAATTCTTCATTTGTTGAATACTTGGATTAGAAATAGGTACTGATTTTAGACATGACTCTCGAGGTCCTGAACACTCAGGGGAAGAAATTATTTTGACCTTCTTTACTCAGTAATGATAACGGCAATAGCTCACATTTATACAGCGTCTTATGGTTTACAGAACCACAGCACCAATTCGTGATATTCCCGTGAAGGAGATAGTGAAATGTATCAGCATCCTCATTTTACAAGTGAGGTGACCGAGACTCAAAGAGTGCTTTACTCGAGGTTACATGGCTACTAAACATCAGTCAGTACTCAAACCTGGGTTTGCTGATTGTAATAGTGCTCTTTGTCTATTATCATTCTATCTGCCATCTAATAATTACTTTTTCAAATATCTAAATTATTGCAAATTCTATGTGTTCCTGAATGGGTTTTTTTTTGGTTTGTTTTTGTTTTTTTGCTATCAGGAAAAGCATAAGGTGTTCAGGAACATTAAGGACCATGCAACTTCTTAATCTCTCAAAAATTTTAAAATGAAGGTATCAAGGATAAATTTTCTAAAGAAAGTACCTGAATTTCCACTGTGTTGAAACTTTTTTCGGTATCTAATGTTCTTGACCTCACTCCCTAAGCAAGCACTGGGAGTGAAAACAATTAAATAGAAACTTTCCCACAAAAACACTATCAAGCAGATTTATTCCAATTTAGTTCTGCAAATGATTGGGGAGAATATCTGTGAGAATGGGCTAAATAAGGTTGTCTCATGGGCTCCAAATTAAGCTAGTTTCCAGGTTCTGCAATTTACAAAATAAAAGTATGTATACTCAACTGCTGGACAATCAGTGGTCAACAATGACCAGAGTCAGATAATTCTGTTTAATTGTGATTATTTAGCATCTACGTCACTCCTCTCCCAGAACAAAGAAAAATAATGTCAGAGCTCTTTCATGTGACCTAAAGTCTGTACTAGCCAGCAAAGGCAGAATACTTGGATTGTATGAATTTCTGAATTGCCAAGGGGCCCAAATGGAAACAAAGCCCCCAATAAACATAGGAATTACTATGAGAAAATGGCCACTGGGAGAAAGAGGAGAAAGGGGAGAGTGAGGAAGGGTAAAAAGAGGAGGAGGAAGAGAAGTGTAGAATCAGAGTGTAGAATATGAAATTTTCATCCAGGTACCAATAGGACAAGGACTGGGGATGGGAGTGGGAGGGTAATGTTGAATGGAGGAAGATGCTACTGGTTTCAAGAGTCATGATTTATTCAAGCACCTCTCACTGAGTCAGATAATTTCACTATAAGGGAGTTCTAGGAGTTGACTCTTAATACACCAGTTTAAGGATACTTAACAATACTGTTTACCGGAATAGGGCTCTTCAGTGGGAGGTGAAAATGGTAGAGGAAGGGACATTTGACCTTAAGCAGATGAAGCTGTGACATAATCAACAAAGGTAAACATCTCAGCATCAAGAGGGAAGCCCACAGCCAGAACCACATTGACACATCATATCCTTCTCTCTCAGTAAGAGGCTGCCAGAAGTTATTAGTTCAAGTGCTAGGAGTCTATGCTATGGTGATAATACATGGGTAATCTTATACCCACCTTTACGCCTAGGGAAAGCTTCATACATTCACATACCCACGAAAAAGAAATCTCTCAAGTCAAGTGGAGGAATTCAGATAGTGTTCATAAGTACTTTGTATAATCCAGACCCTCAAACTCTACTTTTTCCTTGACCATCTAAATAAATTGAGGCAGGAATAGAGGGCTATCTGAAACCTAAATTATCTGGATAATTGTTGGTTTCTTGATCTGGCAACCGGTATTTGCACAGGAATTTTGGTGAGTGCATGAGTGTCTGCTGTGCTGCCCTGGTGCATCAATGCTCCACACCCAGAAAGGTAATGAGGGGCAGACAATAGACAATACAACCTTGGCCATTTACCATCAGTATGACCTTAGTAGGCACTGAAGTCTTCTGAGCCTCAGTTTCCTAATTTATTAAGGAGGAGGCTAGACTAACTGATCTCTAAGGTCTCTTCTAGCTCTAAATCTATAATTCTAATATATACTTTCTCCTCCTTCTTACCTCATCACCTGCTTTAATTAGGTCCAAATTCATCACGTGACCTTAGTGCAAGAACTGTAAATCCTATTGTGAATCTCCCCTTAAAGTTCAGCACCCAAAGGAGTTAGTAGAATGGGAAAGATGTCAGGATACATCCTACTCTCCCTTTAAAATGCCTTCTAATGATTTAATGTATGTAAAGTGTTTAGAAAATCTCAAAGTAGTGTAACTCTGTTATTATGATAATTTGCATACTCACCACGAGCCAGTTATGTTGAACACAATAGTGGTATAGATCTCCTATCTTTGGTTCCATTGCCACTCCTCGGTATTTAATTCTCTCTCTCCACGTTTGGTGGGGAAGCCCTTTCCTAGGACAGGTTCTGTTTTGCAAAGCTGGCCTTGCAAAATGATGTGTGCAGTGATCTATTTTGTAGCTTCGGATGGGTTGGCCTCACTGCTGCAGCTAAACACCATAGGAGCAGGAGTCAGTAGTCGATTCTTTATTGTCTGCTTAATGTTGTGATTTTTACCCCTCTTTAACTGCCTACAGATTATAGAATTGGACACTATTTCAAAAGAGAGAAAAAGAAAACCTACCCTGTTGTTTTAATTCACCTAGAGCGTAGGGGAAGAGAATAACATCATTTTAAAGTGAATGAAAAAAAGAAAAGAATTCTGAGTCATTCCCTGGATAATTATTTAGGTGTTAGTTTCAGAAGCCATCCCAGAGTGCCTTAGCGTTCATACAACACGCCGAGAAAAGCAAATAAAAAAATTGAATCTTGTCACAAGAGATGTTGGAAGGAAAGTTAAAATATTTGGTTTCGAAGGCCGTGCAGGCAGCCAAAGCTTTATTAAAATTAGCGTCGGGGCTGCTTTTAGTGCGGGTAATAAGCCCGGAGTGACTCATCCGAATGGGGTGGCTTTCTCTCTGGCCATTGTAGAGCTTGCTATTGATCAGACTGTGAAGTAATACAGCAGCAGCTGAAGCCAGATAGCAAATATGTGTCGAATTGATCTCCACCCGCTCTCTCCCTCCCACCCTCTCTCCCTCCCCGACAAAACCCCGCCTCCAACTGGGGGTTATTTATAGCAGAAGGGTTGCATTTGGAAAATAACTCGGAGGGCTTGTTTAAGCGATGGTTAGGGGAACTCTCCCTAGCTGGTTAACTTTAAGTATTGGAAATGGAATTGATGCTCACATAATAATATTATGATTCATACAAACCACTTTTCAGTCAACTCAATATATTTCATTACCTCCTTTCCAGCAGATGTATTGATTTTTGTTTTGTGGTTTTATAACACAATTTCAAGGCTGTTGTGGCTTAATGAGCCGTGTTCTTATGATGTTTAAAAAGATTTGAAGCAGTTGTTGAAATAAATATTATGGATCACCCATCTCTCGGGGCTCTGACTCTCTCTCTCTCTCTCTCTCTCTCTCTCTCTCTCTCTCTCTCTCTCTCTCTCTCCTCTCTCTCTCTCTCTCTCTCTCTCCCTCCCCCCCGCCTCCTTCTCCCCCTCTTTTTTTTCTCTCTCTCTCTCTCCCCTTCTCTCCCCTCTTCCCCCAGTCCTTTCCGATCCCCTTCCCCCTCCCCCCCCCCCCATCTCTTGCCTGATTGAATCCAGAATAAAAATGAACCGGGGATCCAGCTAAGCGGCTTTTTGTGCCTGAGATCAAAGTGCCAGCGAAGAACAATAGCAGGCCACACTTATGTGTTCAGGGCCACACACAGCAACACCTGCAGGGCCGTAAAATGTCATTGTTGCTTCTGCGGCGTGAGCACAGGGGAAGCACCTCTGAGGAGGCAGATGATTCTAATAATACTTGATGTGAATTGATGGGGAAGGAGGAACATAATTCACAGGGCTTTTTATTAGAAGCCTTGACTTTCCAAGCTGTGAACAACAGAACGCTGCACCTGTGGACTTTCTTCAAATCAGCCATTATGGAAGCTGACAGATTTTATTAACTTTAAGGAAGAACTTTTCAGCGTGGGGACATTCGTAGTTTATTTTGTATTCATGTGAAACGGAAACAGAAGAGCCACGTTTACATATTTGTTGTCCCCCTCCCCCGTTTTTAACTGGGGCTTTATGAGTAATATTTAAGATCCAGTCTGTCATAAAAACGAGTGACAATATTAAGAGCATTTTGATTTTTTTCTAAAGGAAGGAATGTTGTTAGTATGATGCTGGTGAGATATGGATTTTGTCATCTGGAAGTTCTTCTAGTTGTTGTTAAAGATGAATACCTCCTGTAATTTAGCTCAAGAAACCTAAAACACCAAGGCTACAGGACTAAAGAACTGTTAAATACACAGATTTCTGCCACCACCACCCCTTTTAGAATATAGAATTCAATAGAACTTAAGCTCCCAGAGGGTAGGGACGATTTGGTCTTGGTATCCCAAACATCTAGTACAGTGCCAGGTGCCCATTCATACCGATTTAGAGCTGGAAGGAACCGAGGGTTATCTTCTACTCAAACCCATTCATTTTACAAATGAGGCAACCAAAGCCATAAAGATTAAGTGACTTGACTGAAGTCACAGAGACATCATTTGAACCCAGCTCTGACTCTAAACTGACTGCAAACCATGCTGCCTCGATTTGAAAGGAGAGCATTCCATTCATTCAAATAAGAATTTACCTGCTAAGCGCCAGGCACACTGGTCCGGGCTTGGGCTAAAAAGACAAAAAAACGAAACAAGGAGAATTGCTTTAAGACCAACTAAGGTAGTCCACCCTTCTAGCCAGATTTCAACAACCTTCTTGAGTGATGAAAGGAGAAATATAGGCCAAGGCTTGAAAGCATGTTCAGGCTCTGATTCTGTGGCAAAGACATGGAATTAGGAGATACCTTTGCAGAGTGTTTATGTGTATTTTGTAGACAGGCTTTGGAGGCTAATCCCCGGAGAGGAGGCATTTCAAAGAACAAAGCATAATTAAGGTTCATTTAGTAGAATGGCATGCTTGCTGGAGAAAATATTGTTACATAATCCACAGAACATCCCTGCCTGTCTTCTTAGAGAGATCTGAAACAGAAATAGGAAAAGACACTAAGGTTTTGCTTGTATTCTTAGACATGAACATGTCCCATATGGAGTGTTTTTGGTTTTGCTTCCTCTGGCAAGCGGATGCCTATGACCACAATTCCTGTTGCTTTAATCGGGAAGTGATGAAAACTAAGATTGGAGTCAGTGGGACCATGATTATTGACTCCAAAGCATAAAGGTTTATAGATATTCCTGTTTTTCTTCCAAACAAATGTCCAACGAATTGGGGATCATTTGCAGGAAACTCTTCCGGAAAGTGATAATAGAAAGTAGTTAGGATATTTTGTTTTTCATTCGCACAAACAGATGGGATGCCTGCTTTTAGATTTAATCAGGAATTGAAGACAGGTAGGACTTTTGCATTTTTCAGTCGGCGTCTCTTTCTTTTCAGGAAAGAATGAAGCTACTTAATATTCAGTATCCTCTCCTCTAGCAAGCATACACCACCCCCTGCCTCCCTTCTCCATTGCCTGGCTCTGCTTCACGACTAAGGACAAGACAAAGTGCAAAGGTTATTTAACTGCAGGTTACTCTGTTAATTGCCAAACCTGCCTGGATTCCTATCCTGGAAAAAAATAAAATCAAAGAGAAGGCAGAGCGGCATCATCCAGAGCACACACAAATACCGTTCGGAAAAATGCAGACATAAATGATTGAACAATTTGGGAGTCATGCATCTCTGACCTCATGCTTTCTCAGCTAATCTTTTAAAAAGATTTTGATATCAATTGTTTCTCTCCCCACCCCCACCCTGGCCCCCAGAAGCATAATACCTGGTAACCTAAGCGTGCACAATCTGTTTCAACAGAGGAATACAGACAAGTGCAGCCAGTGGCGCATTTTAATGTCACGGCAGAGATTATATTACCTTTCTAGAAACAAATCTTTTCCCCCCCTTCAAATGGATGTCCCATGATACCCCCATCGGAGATCAGTTGTTATGCAGAGTTTTGTGAAGTAATCAAAATTAATTCACAATGATCTTTTCACCCAGAGACTCCAGCTCCTAATAATGGTCTATCTCAACAGGTGCTCATTGTGGCAGTTTGACTTCAAATTGCCAGACTAAAGGTTTTATTCTTTAGTCATTTTTTTTAATCCTGAACTTGTAATTTACTAATCTTCAGCAGCTGCCAAGAAAGGCCCAGCTGCTTTCCACAAGAACTTCACTTACCTCCTCCGAGGCTGAGAGCTGGGGAAGGGTCTCAGCTTCAGGGACCCAGACGAAAAGCTAAACTCAGTGCCCTCGAGCAGGCACCAATAAGGGGGTGGGGGGGGTACTTGCAAATGTTTGCAGGAGACTCCCTCCCATTCATCTCTCCCAGGCAGCCATGTTAAATCCAGGCAAGTGTGAGGCAGCACGTGAAACCTATTACATTAAGCCAAAGCTGAGAAGGGCTTTTTAACAAAGAAAATGCCAAACAGAAAGGAGGAATTTTAAAAAAGTAATTTCTCTAAACATTTGGCCAAGTTGGTTAGCTAGTGTTGTCTAAAAGCATTTGCTCTTTGCTGACTTTAAAAAAAATCTTAAAATTGGCCTAGAGAGGATCCCCCCCCAAAAAAAAGTGCAAATTTTTGTGATTACAGTAAGACTTTAAGCATGGAAACTCTGAATTCCACCCAGATCTCTGTCAGTGTCCAATGTGTATAGCCTCCAGCTTCAGTGATCCCATTGCTAAAATGGATTCCCCAGGAGCTCCACCTTCTTCAATTCCTAGCTCTCCCATTCCACGCCCCCCACCCCCCAAAGCAGGCACTACTCAGAAGAAAAAAATAGTTAGGTAGCAGGTTATTGAGATAGCCCCAGGCTTGCTCTGAGGTGAGCAGGTGCGAAACAACATTCTTGGAGTTTCGACCTAGTACTGAGCTTCAGTCATTCTCAGTTTAGTCTCTGCCTTTTGATACATCACCTCGATCTTCATTCCTGCCCTTCCTCCCCATACTACTTCTCCTTTACACTGTGGTACAAATGTTATCTGCCTTGGGCTGCTTTTGTAGATTTCTTCACCATTCTAGGGACAGGGCTTACTTTTGCTTTAGGAGAGCCTGTAGTCTGAAGCTAGACAAAATGCACAGTAAAAGTCTTGCTGAGGCCAGCTTTCTGCCTGGAAAGAGAGGAAACCTTAGGGTAAAATCATGAATAGTCAAAAGAAAACCGCAACCCAAATTCCTACTAGTGATCATTGCAATTTTAATTTCTTCTGTCTCCTGTTTGTAGACCAGGTTTCCCAGCAAGGTCAGATTGGAGGGCGAATGAGGCCTCTATCCTTGTCCCAAGCCAGCTGCATGTTCCTGGCAAGAAAAGGAATTTGGTCTCTCTATATATTGTGGAAAGAGAAAAGAGAGCATGCTGACAGAACCCTTTACAGAAAGCCAGTGAGAGAGAGAAACTAAGACC